CAAAGGGTATATATACCATTTTCTTTCATTTAAAAAACTTTCTTTTCTCTCCTGTTCCTTTCTTTTCTTTTCCTTTATTTATATATATTCAAACATAGCGTAAAGAAAAAGAAAGAGATGAAAACTCAATGACCTTTGGTTTCTTATGTAATTCTCACTTTTTTAATATCCTAATTTAGGGAAAAAGCTAAGGAAAGAAAGTTTAAAAAATTTTAGTTTTATAAAAAGATTATTATATTCATATTTTTATTATAACATTAGATTTGATTATATAACTAACACTTCCTACAAACATAATTTTTTTATGAGTATTTTATATAACATCACAAATTATAAATATTTTATGATTTTTCAAGTCTTAATAACAAAATAAGCCAAATTATTATCAAAATAAATTAAAAGGCTGAATTAAACATAAAATTAAGAGTAAATCAATAATTAGCTAATACATCTTACTGTATTAAATATGCTCAATTTTGTTTAAAAATATTTGTTTATATAAGCTAGGCAGTATAAAAATATATTTGTATATTATATGTTTTTTTATAAAAAGATTTATAATTGGAATAAAATTATAATGAATTATTTCCTTTCTTTTTCACTATTTATCCAAACAATGGTTGTTAGAATTATTTACGTTTCTTTTCTTTTATTAATTTTAATTATCCAAACAAAAGGTATATGTACCTTTTCCTTTCTTTTAAAAAACCTTTCTTTCCTTTATTTATATATATATATATCCAACCATAGCGTTAAATTAAAAGTTTATCCAAATAAAAGAAAGGTTTTCATGTTTCCATTACTTTTATTTATTTTCCTTTCCTTTCTTTCCCCTCTTCTGAATCCAAACTTACACAATATTTGGATAAATATTAATAAAGGAAAGGAAAAGAAAGTAAAAGAAAGTTTTTTTAAAGGAAAAGAAGGTATATATGTACCCTTTGTTTGGATAATTAAAATTAATAAAAGAAAAGAACTAAAAGGAATTCAAACAACTATTGTTTGGATAAAGAGTGAAAGAAATTATTCATTATAATAATTTTTTTCAATTATAACCTTTCATTGCTTGTGATTTTAGAGCATTTTTAGATCATGATATATTTGCTATCTTGTTTGGCCTTATAATTGTTGCTATATCAGTGGTTTTTAATCAAGTGAAATAAGAAGATAGTTTACAAACATGGATTGATGAATTTTTGTCCATTGCTAAAATTTCAGTACACTATCACTTTGGTAATGCATTCATATAAAAGCTATTAAATATAAAAAAATGTAATCACATAAAAATATTACATACTAACGAATTATGTCCTTTTTGCACTAAACAAAAAGTAATAACATATCACCATATAGTTGTCCAACATAAATTTATTTTATCAAAATAACAAAATAAATATTTCCATTCTAAGAAAAATAAACTTATTTCAACAAATTAAAAACTTATGTAGCAAAAAAAGTTTTGACATCTTTAATGACTAGATGAACTAAACACCAACCTTTCAATGACCTTCTTTCTTTTATCTCATAGGCATCTAAGTACCGCTTTTACTTTCTCAGGATTATCAATAAAATATAGGTAAACAGTAGTGATTCGTTGTGAGTCAATCCCTATGTCCTTTAATAGATTCCATATTTCATTTTTCGAAATTCGATCAACATGAGTGTTGAGCTTTTCATAAATAGCATTTCATGCAAAAACTGCATTAGCAACCATTTCAAACCCTTCTCAAATAAGTTCATCATCTTTGTCATCTTTTGATTTTTTTAGCTCTTTTATTCATTGAACTACTCAGAAGATCGAATGGATTCTTAGAACGAGCTCCAGTGGATGTCATGAGATCAATGTACTTTTTATGTGAAATATCATGATTATCTAATGTTATCTCATTATGAGAAATTAAATTATCAATATCATCAATATTCTCTCTTAACTCATCATCAATTTTAAAAGATTACTTCCTTCGTCTCATTTTTATTGCAGTCTCAACATGCTTCTCAGTGGCTCGATCATTACCATAAAGAATCACCATCTTGTCATAATTTGAAATGGGTTTAGTCATCTACTCTTGGGCATGAAGGTGTGCATAAAAATTTATATGTATTATATTGTGAGAATATAAATAATAAAATGTAAAATAATGAATAAAATAATAATTAAAATTTGATTTTAATAAAATTTACCTCAATCAATCTTTGCCAAACTTCAGATTCAACACCCCATAATTTAGTAACTAGATTCCAAGAAAATCCACTTATTCCTTGCCTGAACAAGTCATAACACTTTGAGAAATTTGTTTTTATAGTCTTCCAACGATTTTTCACTTTTTCTTTCTTTATGTCTTTCTAAATATTTTCTTTTAGTTCAATGACTATATTATCATATGCATGTTTAGTGAACGATCCATTTATCCTATTCCTTATATTATGTTGATAATACATCAATAAGAGCATCATCCATTATTGGTGTCCATGTCAAAACATCATCCTTATTTGTCCCTTTGTCACTTTTATAAGCTGTAACAACTTTTTTCTTTCTCAACATAGTTAAATCTAAATAATAAAAAATAAAAAATGCAAAAAGTTATAATAACAATTAAATATAATTATTAAGAAATAAGTACTTTAATTGTTCAAATGAAATACATTTATTTAATTAAAGAAATACATTTCTTTCAATGACAATAAATCAAATATAAATTCAAGAAAATACACAAATAATGATAGCCATTCGATTTCTATAATTTATCCACATAGCATTAGCTATATAATCTCTTAATTGTTCTCTTCAAGCAGCATTTTCATTCTTCGTTCTAGGAGCACGATACTTTTGTTCAGTGGACCCAATATTTAGTTCACAATCAACCTTATCAATAAAAACATCATCAAGATATTCTATCATTAAGTAATTATGTAAAATACAATAAGCTAAAATTATTACTTTCTGGACTCTAACTCTATAAGTCAGCACATTTACGCTTGTTATAATAGGAAGTTTTTTTTTAGGGCATCGAATGCTTTTTCAATTGCATTACGCAAAGATGCATGCCTAAAATTGAATAATTCCTGAGAATTTCTTAGTGGATTATTTGAGTATTTTTTCAAATGATGCCATACTCCTCTATATGGGGCAATCAATCCACTTCTCTACATAAAATCAGCATCAAAAATATAATATTTACCTATTCAAAATTGTAACCATATCACTATTTTGATCTCATAAGTAATAAATTAAATATAATATATTGTATTCATTGCCTTTTGGAATCATAAGCTTGTTTTTTCTTGATAGTGCATCTTTCATAATTCTTGAGACAAATGTAGTACCTTCCCATCCAGGTAATATTTAAGTGAATTTTAAATCAAAAGAACTTGTTACCAATACATTTTGTGTTGGGTATTTTTTTCTACCTCAATATTTTGGAGCATTTGTATTTGATACCTTGACTCTAATATGTATTCCATCAATAGCTTCTACACAATCCTGATATTGATTTTATATATTAATACTTATTGAATATAAAACAAACTTGTGATTAAATTAAAGTAACTAAGAATTTCCTACCTTAAAATATGGGTAGAATCTATTATTTTCAAGTATCTCAACTGGAATATCTGAACCATTTTGTTGTTTAAAGAATCTCTCCTCTAACTCTATTATAGCTTTTAAAACACAATGTAAATGGCGACTAGTTGTTTTTTTTTAACGTCTAAAGCAAAATTATATCTCTCTATTTTTTGCATGATGAGATAATATACAAAAAGTTTTAGCAACTTGTACTTCCACTATAACTCGTCTTGTTGGTTCTAGACCATCGTTTTTTTTTAGTATTACACATAAATCTGGAAAAGCTTTAGGTCTTATTCTTACAATATCTTTACCTTTCTCACCACCAACAATTTGACTCATTATTTCAACTCTAACCCAATCTCTTTCTAGACTCATACAATGATCAATAACTTTTTTTTGTGATCATTTTTTACGTACAAACCAATAAATAGCTAAACACATAACGTAGACAATTGCCTTTCGATGACTTTCTCTCTAAAAATACTTAATTATTGTCTCATTTCTTTGTTTATCCATCTATATAGCAAAATATTAACAATAATTATTATTATCGTAAAAATAAATACACTAACATTTATATGAAAAAAAATAATATTAAAACAAAATTGAATTAGAGAATTTTGAAACATGAGACATTTAACAATAAATCATACATACTATTAATAATAGTACTAATATTTATCAGTTACTCACATATATTAATTATTATAATACTAATATTTATAATCATAGCCAAGTTAATTGTATTTCAATGAAACATCTTGTTTATCTCACTTTTCTTTCTATAATGTCCTAGAAATGCCATATTATTTCTTTTATAGTGTGTTTAGATCGAGGGAAGAAGAAGGAAAGTAAAGTAAAGTAAAAAAAGGTAAAGGAAACAAAACCTTCATTTCCTTATTTGGATTAATTTTTAATTAAAAAAAGATATGAAAATTAAATAATCTTTGGTTTTTCTTGTAAACTTAAAATTTTTAACACCTCAATTTGGAGAAAAGCTAGGGAAAAGAAAGTTAAATTTTTTTTTATATAAAAAGACTATTATATCCATCATTTTATTAATATTAAAATCCTAATAAAAAAATTTAAGTAAATCACAATCATCCTATAATTTTTTTAAAGCAATCTTTTTTTTCAAGTAAGTTTTACATATTTCTTCCAATATAAAATTTTTTTATAATTTTTTGATGATTTAATTTTGATGAATGGTTGAATATGAGTAGACATATAATAATCTAAAAATATTCTAAAATCACAAGCAATAAAATATTATAATTAAAAAAATTATTATAATATATCTTTTTTTTTTTTCATTCTTTTATCTAAACAATAATTGTTAAAATTTTTTTATTAATTTTAATTATTCAAATAAAAGTTACATAAATTTTTTAAAAAATATATTTTTTTCTTTCTTTTTATTTCCTTTCTTTATTAATATTTATCCAAAGTGTTACAATCATCCTACTTGATGCCAAAGACGCCAAAATTTTCGTTTTTCACTGGGTTTCAGAATTTTGTTGGAAAAAGATGGCTGAGCACGAAGAGAAGCACGAGGAATCGTTGATGGAGAAGACAGCGGAGAAGATCCGCGTCCATGATTCATCGTCATCATCGTTGGATTCCGATGGCCATCAGCCTTCAACATCGTTGATCAAGGCCAAGTTCTTCCGTCTCTTTGGAAGAGAAAGGCCCGTCCACCTCGTTTTCGATGGAGGCAAAGGTATGCTACAAAACCTTTTTTTTTTTTTTTTCATTTCTTAAATGTGTTCACTCTATTTTTTAGATTTTTTTTTTTTGAAAGTCTTGGTTTTTAAACCTTTGATTTTAGTTCCAAATCGGAGTTAAATTCCAATTTTTTTTAATTTTTTGGTGGTGATTGAAGAGGTAGAACCGGCTCAGTGATTTAGATCAAGCGTTCCATTTTGATTAATTGGTGTTGTTTGAGCTTAATTATGGTTTTTGATCTGCTAATATTTGTTTCATCAGGAGCCCTTGGTGTTGCAACTGTGATATGGGTTTTGTTTGAATTGCTCGAATACCACCTTCTCGCTCTAGTGTATCTCTTGTTGATAATTGCTCTTTCGTTACTCTTCTTGTGGTCAAATGCTACTACCTTCATAAAAAGGTAAGCTGTTGAATTGGTTGTCTACATTTGGGGTTATATTTGGATTCGGGTTCTTTTTGCTCATACTAATGTAAATTGTTTTGAATAGGTCTCCACCACGCATTCCTGAAGTTCAAATCCCAAAGGACGCTTTTGTAGAGTTCGCCCAAGCACTTAGGTTTGAGATTAACTGGGATTTTGCTGTCGTGCGGGATATCACATCAGGAAGAGATCTTAAGAAGTTCCTCTCTGTATGTCGTTTATTTGTTTATATAAAAGAGGAGGAAAGTCAGCAATGCACATATTCTCTTCTTCTTTGGCTGCTCATTTTTTATTCCTTTTGATTTTGTGCAGCTCATTTTGCCCATCGTGGAGGTGGGAGTAAAGTGCTTTGACCTTGGCCTTCCATACCGGCTGCTCCTGATGACAAAGTTACAATTGAAAGTGCAGAAGCTACCCTTAAGTATGTTTTAATTCCTGATTTCCATTTCTAAAATTCCCAAATAATGAAAATATATCTTTGTAGTACATTTAGTCAATTCTGTAGTTCCTAATTCTTCCATCTTGCCCATCTTTCTAATGGAATACCTTTCTGGCCATAGTCTTTCCTGCTTATTTTCTTCATCTACATGATAGAAATTTATATGCTATTCTTGTTGTTTGCATTTTTTCCTACCGTGAACCATTTTTTTTTTTTTTGGTTGATTAGAGTATCACAGAATAATAAAGCAGTTAGGAACCTGCATCTTGTTCTGGCCCTTGTTCTGGCTCTTGCTCTTGCTTTTGCTTTTGGTACTAATGGCTGTATCTTTCCGTCTGTTATGGTTCTTATACCTTTGCGTTCTGTTCCTGCTCAACATCATAATATCTGCTATTAAATACATGGTAACTTAATTGGGTCAATGTACTTGCATTATGCTATTGGAGTTTTCTTCTTCTGCTGATCTCTAGTGCTTCTGGTTCTTATTTTAGGCACAATGTAGCCATCAAGTGTGCTACGATCATTCCAGGTATACGTGGCTGACTATGGCTGAATTTCTTACTAGAAAGAAGCATGCATTTACTTCTTGAATTAGTGAATTTGAATTCTTGCTGGAATGGTGCTATTCATCAAAGCTCGAAATTGAGCAAGTTACTACAATATGGTGTTTGTGATTGCCAGATGAAGCTGGTGTTAAGGAGTTTAACTTGAAGCAGATGTGGAAGAGTCCTAATGGAACAATTTGGAACATTTGGATTGGTTAGTGTTAATGCATTCATTTCTTCCAAGAAAATTTTTCCTATTATTTTGTGATGGTTCATAATTATCTATTTTTGCTGGCATAACCTTTTAGGCAGTGTGTTTAGAGAAGCAATTATTTGCAAAAATGCCCCCCAACTGGTCCCAGGTATTTAGTTTTCCTTGATGTTGCAATTGTATATGTGTTATTTGTTTATTTATTTTACTGATTTCTTGTTTCATCAGGTTGGACAAAGCCCATATGCATTGGAAGGCAAGCCTTTGGTGATCAATATCAAGTAATTGACATTGTCATCAAAGAAGCTGGGAAACTTAAACTTGTTTTTGGTAAAATCTTTTCTCTGCTTGATGATTCCTGAGATTCCATTGCTTATGGTAATTGGTATTTGATAATTTTCAGCACTTGATTCTTGGATAATTGGCTCATTCATTGCCATTTTTTGCCCATCCAGAGGGACAATATGTGAAGACAGAGTTCAAAGTCTTAAACTTCACTGGTGATGGAGGAGTTTCATTGGCAATGTATGACACAGATGAGGTCTGAATCTATAAATCTTTTGATGTTCTTGAAGTGAAATTTGTCTGTTCTAGTTCAGCACAAATCCATTAGTACAAAAAATTTTAACTTGCTTTATAAGGGATCCATTGGAGAAAGCCGTTTTCTTTCTCTTCCTCTCCTTTCCCAATCCCAACAGGGACCCTATCAAAACCCAGTCAAACTAAAACTTTGGAAACCCCTTCCTAAACCCAAACTCCTCCGTTTTATGTTTTTTTTTTTTTTTTGTGTTTTTTTTGTTTCCTCCTAATGAGTAATGATACACCTTTTTTTTACAAGATATCTTTTGTTGGGTTGTTGGCTGCTGCTGTTGTGGTTCTTTGATGGTTACATTGTTTGTTTTTAGCCTGATGATCGAGGTGCCTAAGGGTGGTAAGGAGCTCTGTTTAGCTTTTGGTTGGTTGCTGTATACTGAGGCTGGTATTGGTGGCTTACGGTTTGGGAATGAAAATGGTAAAGGGGTTTGTTTGGTGGAGGTTAACAGTGAACAGTAGGCAATTCACTTACGAATTTTTTGGTTTGCTTTGGGTTTCCTCGTGTTTACATGATGAGCATGGGTCTCCTTTGTCTATCCATTTCCCCAAATGTGTGTTTGATTTTGTTGCTGAGTTTTTGGTGGAATGGTGTTTTTGGGTAGTAGTGGTGGTGGTGGTTTTTTGGTGACCAGTTTTCGGGTTCAAGGGCTTCTGAATTGTTTTTCTTTTTCTGTGTCTGTGCGTGTCTGTCTCTCTGTGTGTGCATCTCCTCTGTTTGGAATTTTTTTGGTTTCATTTCCTCAGTTTTTTTTCCTCTAAACAGAAGGCTTTTTAGAGTAGTTTTACTCTAATGGATCAATCCCTCTATAAAGGTCATCGATCCTAACAGAAGACTTTCGGGAGAAGTTTTGCTCTTCGATCACTTTCTGAAACAGAAAGCTTTCAAGAGCAGTTTTGCTCCAATTGATTGATCCCTAATAAAGGGAATCAATCCTTGGAAACAGATTTCTTCCGAAAGCAGTTGGTATTTGAGGACATGGATTCTTTAGGGGTAAAATGATCTCAAATTGAGGCTCTTAGCAGATTACCAATCGAATGACAAACAGCAAGACCTTCTTGTCCTGTGAAATTGAAATGTTTGAGGTGGGTTGTCCATTTTTTATACTAATAGATTTGTGCTGCATTTTGCTCAAAACTAAAGTAACTGGATGGAATTTACGCTAATAATTTTTTTAAATTCTAAAAGTGTGGAATGGATTTAAGTTATGAATGAAAATGGAATATTACAAAAAGGATTGTTGGTTGTGAATGGAAATGGAATTTTTTAGGTAAGTGGCATGCATCTTCTACAATCTTAGTTGAGAAAATGTAATCTAATTAAGATTTTTTTAGTCGTTTGTAATCTTTCAAACATTAGGAGAATCTTCATCTCAGTTATTTGTTTCCATATGAGAAGCTTTAGCAAATTGGAAGGAGGTTATAAAATTTATGGATTACCCATTTTATATATGTTCATTTTTTTATTGTTAGTTAGAAACGAATCTAATTTTTTACATAAAAATACACGACAAATTTGTATCTGCCAACCACATATAGCAGAATCTTAATTATCTGGTGGTTGCTTGATATGGTAAAACTTCATGGGCTGTTTTTGCTGAATTTGGTAACTGTGAAACTAGTTGATTTCAATTACATTCCTTTTTTATCGTCTGACATTTCTTTTTATATAGCCTGAGCTGATAACCTGATCATAGCTTCATATTTGCCTAACCTTCAGAAAGACATGTCAACTTTGTCATTGCCATTGATGAAGGGTGTGGAAGAAACAAGCAAGGTCCTGGTGAAGGTGCCCAAGGTGGTTCCCTGGCTTTGCAGGGTCATCCAAGAAGGAAGGGTGGTTTCCATTGGAAGAAAGATAAAGGAATCTGTTTCCAGCCTCATTTTATGCTCTTATAAGAGCATGACCCATGAATTTGCTAAAGAAGCTGAAGTGTTCAATGCAAAACCTATTATAAAGTAAGTGGAAAACAGAGGATGGTACTATCTTTCTTTCTCTTATTATCACTTTTTGTTTTGGAAATAATAGTATTTCCATTGATTTACTGAAGCCAGTCACAGAGTACAATATGTTCTAGTTCAAGTGGGCATACATCATACCATTGTTTAGTTTCCATAGTCACAAAAGCCATTCTAGCCAACCTGTGTGCTGCCTCATTCGCCTCTTGTTGGACATAGTGTGCCTTCCATTGCATAAGCCTAGAGAGTTTTCCTTGAGCTTCCATTATCTGATTTCCTACTGCAGATAGATTAGGTCCACATGAGTTTGTGATCTGGTCGAAATAATATTTGCATCTCCCTCCAAAATAATGTTCTGACTTCCCATTTCCTTTGGCCAGCTCAACTGCTTTTGTGACTGCTATTTTGTGCATCTGCGATATCTGGTATAGATATAGAGACTGTTCCCAAGACTCACCCTTGATGGCCCCTGGCTATCGCCCCAAATCCTCCTGTCTTAGCCCCTGTATTAAGTGCTCCATCAAAGTTGATTTTAACCTCATGTTCTCCTGGAGCTTGCCATCTTTCCACTGTTGTTGCTGTATCTGGGTGGTTTGCTTGGGCGCTTGTAAATTCCTGAAGGTATCTTTGTTGGCTGCTTCTATGTTTTCCACCTTTTATACTTTCATTCCTATTGAACCAAGCTGCCCAGTACATTACCAAAATACGGCAGAGTTTATCTGCTTCTTTGTTGTTTAATAGGGCTGTAAGCCACTCAGTATTGCTGTGTTCTTGGGTCTCCTGCCACTCCTTGCCGTAACCAGTGAACTCCCATATCTCCTTTACTTTGAGGCAGTCTTTTACTGCATGGATAACAGATTCTTCTTTCTTTCGGCACCTTGGGCATGTGGCATCATCTAAAATTCTTCTTTCCTTCAGTCTTTCGTACGTAGGCAATGCTTCATGACCCAATCTCCAAGCAAAAATCCTGATTTTCCTAGGAATAGAAAGCTTCCACAGTTTTCCCCAGTTTAGGATTAGTGACATTACCTGATGGGTCCCCTACCATGCCTCTCGTGGACATCAATAGACGCATCCACTACATACGCTATATTGCCCGTTGGCAGTATAATGCCAAACCTGCACGTCTGGAAGGTCCCTATGGCCAATAGGGATTATCAAAATTTCAATTATGGACTCAGCCAAGAACCTTTCACATAGCTTCTCTTCATTCCAGCTATTACCTGGCCTTTTTATTAGTTAAGTCACCAGCTCCTCTGTTGGACTATGATCCTCCCTGGCCTTAGGTTTGAAGTTATTTGCACATGGAATCTAGTTATCCGCCTATACCTTGCTCTGTTCTCCATTTCCTACTCACCACCGAGTCCCTAGTTGTAGCACTTCCATTCCTGTCCAGATGCTCCTCCATATAATTGGAAGGTGCATTCCCAAAGTCAGCCTAAAAGAAAGATTTTGAAGTGAAACACTTAGCTTTGATCACCCTGTACATGAGTGAGGATTGGTTGTGTAATGGCCTCCAACCTTGTTTCGCCAATAGTGCATTGTTAAAGGACTCCATGTCACGAAAGCCTAGTCCACTTGTCTTCTTTGCCGTGCACATATACTGCCATGATTTCCAATGGATGCCACCTTTCCTCATTGATTTCCTCCACCAGAATTTACTAATGATCATGTTGATATCATGACATAGCCCCCTCAGGAACATAAAGCAGGACATGGCATAGGAGGACATTGATTGCAGGATCAATTTTAACGAAAACCTCCTCCCATCCTAGAGACAACCATTTATAGCTCCACCTTTTTATTCTTTTCTCCATGTTCCCCAGGATCCCTTTAAAAGCCCTTATCTTCTTTCTTCCAATGATCATCGGTAACACTAGGTACTTTTCTGTGTTTGTGGTAGCCTATATCCTGAAAATATTCTTCATCGTATCCTTTGCTTCAGGTCTGGTATTTGCACTCAAGAATAGGCCAGACTTGTCATAGTTTATCTGCTGCCCAGAACCTTCCTCATATAACTTTAGCAAGTCTCTCACTCTTCTGCATTCCTGTTGGTTTGCTTTAAGAAAAAGCAACCTATCATTTGCAAAAAATAAATGAATGATTCTTGGGCCCGAAATACTTGCCCTTACTTCCACTCCCTGTAACAAACTATTACTTTGTGCTTGAGATAACAAGGCCGATAAACCTTTAGTGCACATCAAAAAGAGGTATGGAGAGAGGGGGTCTCCCTGTCTAAGAACTCTCTCAGGGAAGAATTTCTCTGAAACAAATCCATTAGTGACAACACTTAGGAAACTGATTGGATACAGTTCATAATTGGATTGATCCACTTCTTATCAAAGCTCATTCGCTTCTTCACAGCTTTAATAAAAGGCCATTCTACCCTATCATAAGCCTTGTTCATATCCAGTTTGAGAGCACACCTACCCTCCTTACCCGTTGTCTTCTTCTTCTTTGTATGCAAGAGTTCATGGGCTATAATTTCATTGTCAGAAATCAGGAGCCCTGGGACAAAGGCACTCTGGTTCTCGCTAATACACAAGGGTAAAAAATGTTTAAGTCTGTTGGCTAAGGTCTTAGCAATGATTTTGTATAAGACATTACATAAACTAATGGGCTGGTACTAGGACATTTTCCTAGGGTTCTTGATTTTTGGAATGAGCACTATGTGAGTGTCATTAATACCCTCTAACCATCCCCCAGCATTTAGAATATAGAGACAATAATTGGTTATGTCTGATCCTATAATACACCAATATTTATGAAAGAATAAAACTGGCATACCATCCGGGCTTGGAGCCTTTGTAGGGTGGATTTGTTTTGCAGCTTCATAAATTTCCTCCACTTTATATTTGGCCTTAAACCAATTATTTATCTCCTCTGTAATACATGGTGAAATTGTTGCCAGTATCCTGTCCAGATTTGTTGCACCTTGGAATTTGAACAGTTCCTTAAAAGTAGCTCACTGCTTGTTAAGAAATCTGGTTTTCCTCTTCAAGCCATGTCCCAACCTCGTCTTCAATCCCATGTATCCTGTTGGTGCTTTCTGTAGCTTGGGCATGAAAGAATTTGGTATTATTGTCACCCTCCCTCAGCCACATCGTTCGAGCACGTTGGCTTCAGAAGATTTCTTCCTTCTCCAAAAGACTGTTTAATTGAAGCTTTAATCTTGTCCCATCTTCCAATGAAGTTCCAGTTGTGGCCTGCATTTGTGACCTAGTCAGTGCTTTGTTCATGTGCTCTATTTCTGTACTGATTTTATGAAATTTTCCCCTGCCCTGAGCCTTGAGATTATCCAACACATTTCCCAACCTTTCATGCATAACATGGGTTCACCATCAGCCCAGCTATCCTCCACAACATTTGCGGAATCAGATTCCACCACCCGCATAGCTTCAAAAAACTTTCTCTTCCTTTTTTGTTTCCATTTTGGTTTTGTCCGTTGTGTATCTACCATAATCGGCTCATGATCTGACACTGAGCTAGTTAGGTTTCTTACCAGATGGAAAGGAAATATTTCACACCATTGACTGCAAGCCACGGCTCTGCCAAGGTGTTCTCTTATCTGGTTGTGCATGGTTTTGCCTCTTTCTCACGTGAAGCTTGGACCCTGAAAGCCAAGATCATATAGCCCCATTTCGTCAAGAGCATTTCTAAAGTCCTCTATTTGCCACCGTGACCTATCCCCACCTCCCCCCTCTTCACTGCTCCACGTTATTTCATTAAAGTCCCCTATACACCTTGATCATTCTGTCTCCTTAGTGCCCATAAGAGGTCCCATACAGCTTTCCTTTCATTCATGGCAGGCTCTACATAAAACCCTGTCAACCTCCACTCTTTCAGTTCTATGTCTTTCACATTCATGTCTATATGGTGCTTTGAAAAACAATGTAAGCTCATCACGATTTCCTAGCTCCACGTCATTGTTATTCCACCACTTCTTCCTTCCGCATCCACATTAAAAATCCCTTGCATTCTACATTGTCTTCTAATACAGTCAATTTTTACATTGTTAGAAATGGTCTCCATTAAGAATGCCACCTTGGGGTCTTCTCTCCTCAGGATCTTCTGAAGAGCACGAATTGTCCTTGGGTTCCCAAGTCCACGGCAGTTCCACGCTAAACACAGATGTCTCAACATTTTCTGTATCATATAATACTTCATCAGCAATCCTTCCCCATTTACTAGGAAATTCTATATCCATTTCAGTAACCTCATCATTCCCATGCCTTTTTCTTTTCCCAGTTCAACATGTTCACTGCTCCCTGTCTCCTTCATGTTGTGCGCCATCTTTTTCCATTTTGGCCGTTTGGAGTTGGAAGCACGTTTTCCTGTTGGGCCCGGCTGTGGCATCTTCTGTTTTGTCTCACTTGCATGCATGTCACATGAAACAGTGTTTTCCGTACTCCTAGTTTCCCATTTTCCCTTATTTGCCCCTACACTGTCCTCTATTATGGATTGTGTCCTGTCCTCTACATTCATGCAAGATAGTAAGTCGTGTATCATCTCCTGGTGGCCCATCATTTTGTTTATCTTGCAGCCCAATTTTATTACTAATAGGAAAACCAAGTCCTTCCTTAGTCATATGTGATACATCCCCTAGGCCCACTACCTCCTCAAACACCTTAAGCATTATAGGATGGGAATTGTGATCCCTGATTTCACGTTGATTTGCATGCAATGCTCCTAGATTTCAGCTTCTGTTCCCCACCCTATCCTTAAAATCTTGCTGTTTGACGACATATGGATTACTTCCCAAATTCAAACTCCTGGCAACTCTTTTGCCGGCCTCCGCCACACCCTTAGCCATATGGTGTCTCAAAACCGTCATTCCCTTCTCCTACGTTGATAGATTGTTCATCATTGGTGATGCTTTGAATCAATTGCCATATTGTTTTGGTAGTTTCGTGAAACTCCCCTCATCTCCACCACCTTCTTCGCAATCATCTTCAATATGCCTTATTTTCCCACAACAGTAGCAGAAACTTGGCAGCCCCTCATAGCTAAGCCATCCCCATACCTCCTTTGATCCTGGTTCTGTGTTCAGCAAAACTGCCCTCCTAAGTGGCTTGGTGATGTCAATATCCACCCTCATCCTCAGAAACTTTGCCCATCCACCATCATCTAAACTTGCATCAACCAATCCCGATGATCCTATCTTGTTTCCTATGGTTCTTGCAGTTGCTTGGTTCCTCATTCCTAGAGGAAGACCATATACCTTGATCCAGAATGGAGCATGTGTAAACACATAATCCTCAGGCTTCATTCCTCCATCATAATCTCTTAATAGTATTAGGTTTTTATCAAAACTCCATGGCGATCTATCCATCACTCGTTTCTTATCTAATACTGAAGAAAATTTAAATAAGGAAAGGTTATCCTCCAGATCTGCTATCTCTACTTCTCTAGCTATTCTCTAGATCAGTTTCAAAGTTGTCTTCATCACTTCTTTGTTGAAGGCACACATTGTGAACAACTTTCCTACCGTCCATGCATCCCTGTGATCTACTTTATCTCCTGATCCGCCCACAATTGTTTCGACTCCTTCCTTCTCCTCCTCCGTTGACCGTAAATTACTCCACAGTTCATCCAACTCCTTGTCCACACTCATAGTAATCCTTCCCACTAGCCTGTTCTTCGTAAACTAACTAAATCTCCTCAAAGTTCACCCTATAGGCAAACCTGAGATCTTACTATCTTGAAAAGACAAGACTTACTTCCACAGAGCCATAGATCTCAGAAGACTATATGTAGATAATAAAATTTATCACTTTTGTTGTTTAATATATAGTAAGTAGTAGTTGAAAATTCCATTGCTCATAGTGGGTAGAGATTGCCTGCCAGCTCCAACCTGATCTGCTTCTTATTCTAGTTTGATACTTGAGTTAAAATCTAAGTAACTGGTAAGGAACAAACCACTTGTGTGATTGATTTGGACGTTGTCTTCCAATTCAACCAATGAATCCCTTTGTTATCACCAGTAATTGCTTATCAAGCTTGATTTCTTGAGACAATGTGATTTTGGCAACGTGAAAAACAGTTCATGAGTAGGTGGATAACTGATTTGATGAAGATTTCTCTTCCAACCTTCTATATCTCCCTCATGATTCTATCATTTCGCATTTCTAAACCTTTTTTTGGTAAGAAACATAAAAAGTATGAGGATAGAAAATTTTGAATTTTGTAGTTAGGTTTCATAATCATTTTTCTCTTTTGTAACTTAACCATGGGATTGAACACTTATTCATCCTTACGCCTTTCTATTCTTCCCAGCAACCAAAATGATCTTTTTTTTTCTCTATCAACCATGCAAGGAAGACCAAAATATTTCTCTGAGTTTATAATCTCTTGGGTCTCAAAAATGCTGTTGAACTCATTTTGTTCATCTTCTCTTGTGTTGCTGCTAAAAACAGAGCCTGACTTCTCATAATTTATTTTCTGTCCAAAGCTAATTTCTTCATATGTGTGTGCTCTTTATCCTTTCGCAATTAATCCTAATCCTATTCATTTTGCCAAATAGAATATTGTCAGGGGCAAAAGAATGGTTTCTCAGGGACAAGCTCGACTAGCTTTAACTCCATGTAGCAATCCACCACTTTGATCCTTTGATAAGATGGCGGATAGACCTAAGTTTACATATAAGAAACAAAATGACTTGATCCTATAGATAGACCTTTTGTATATACTATTGCATATTTTCTCTTGATACCAATTGTACTGTTTTACTTGACCGATTTGCTATAGTACTTTCACCTTCTGATGTATTTGTCTAAATAAATATAGAAGCATGTTTCTTGCATTGCGCTTGTCTGGAAGTTTTATGCTAGGTAATGATTTGCTAAATGTTATAGGTTCAATTTCAAAGTCTGCCTTATGCTGCTTCTGGTGCTTACAACTGGGACAAGAGGTGTTGGAAGTGAAGATATTGGAAGCACACTAATCCCCAGGAACACAGCAATGAACTCTCTTCTGGTCAACAAAAATCTTAGAGGCCATAAACTCAGTGAAAGACGAGAGATGGTAGGCACAGAAGCTGCTGCAATGAATGATAGTATCAACTACAAGCCATTTCAAGGGAACTCTCCACCAAACAACCCAGTGGGCAAGCAAGCCAATCCTTATAAGAGACCTTGTAACCCGGGTGAATATTGCCGTCAAGGTAAAACAGGAAAGAAAAAGGGTTAATGCTCCTGAATTATAGTGAAATGTTCAATCTAGTATTTGAACTTTAAAATTTTTCATATGGTCTTAACTATGAATTTGTTCATTAATATAATACTCATCTCTATCATAGTTAGCTTCAATGATGATACGTGACATACAAACAACTCTTTAAGTACTACATTAATTAATAAATTCATAAATTAAGTATCATATTAGAGAGTTTTAAAGTTAAAATATTGCATTGGATATTTCACTATAGTTGAGGGGTCATTCATAACATTATAAAAACTAGCACTGTATCTGATAAAAACGGCATGAATTCCCCAGGGTTGAACCCTTCTTTGAGTTCCAGTGGTTTCTTATATATTTTTCTGTCCATTAGTTGTAATAAGGACAATTTAATGTCAGTTTCAAAATGTTTATCATATGAATAAGTACTTTTAAGTTAAACAAGGAAAAGACTTATAGCTGGAAAGCATATTTTACCTATTCATTTATCTATTGAACTTTTACCTTCCAAGTCTTTGTCAGAGCAACCTGTTTCTCTGATGCTGCTCATTTTAGTTTCCTCGAGAGCCAGAGCTGTTGCTTTATACTTTTCATTGCCTAACAGTTGCTCTCCTGATTCCTAATTTCTTCTATTGTAATGATTCTTCTTCCATTTCTGTTGAACCACAATCTAACTTTCCGATAGTCACAAATATAGTTTTGATGGAAGAACTGGCATGCGAAAGCCAGCACAAGAAAGGGATTTCATTGCTTATACCTTCAATTGTTGATCCAGTCACAATGGCTTATAAAGCAAGCAATGGAAGGATGAGCAAGAACCTTGTGTTGAGGTGCCCAACCAACCATTTGCCCTCTAGCAGTTCTGGGTAGGCATCATTTCTTCCATCTGTTATATCAGAACGCACGACCAAAGAAATGGTCTTCCTCTAAGTTCAAGCCCAAATGCAAGCTCTTGAAATTGAGTTGTATGTCAAAAATGGTGAAGGTGCCAAATGCAACGTAGGGGACTGATTGTGGTATCTGTTGGTTCAGCCATTTCAGATAACTTGAATCTTCTGGACTTAAGTTTCCGTTTGAGTCTACTGGCCGGTTTGGTGCCACTTCAGATCGTTGGGGCCATTAGGTCAGATCGTTGGGGCCATAGCAAATGCTGCTGGCTCAAGTTCATAAGTTGAGTTGCAACGCCAGCCAATCTGTCAACTTGATAGATTCATTTTTCTAAGATTTCGAAAACGATTTTTTGTGCGTTTATGTTGCCTATGCAAGCCAGACAAAGTTCATTGTGCTCGGATGTGTGGCGACAATCCATCTTTTAATGGGAGTTCCCTCCAGCTCTTCTTAAGATTTAATCTTAGGTAGAAGGTTTCTTTTGGTATTGGAACTCCAGAATAGATGCATTTTTTAAAGATGACTGCATGAATTAACTAAATTAAACTCCAAATTCATCCAATGTAGAAGTTTACAAGGATTAGTTGTTACTCATTATATTTTTCATTTGAATCATCCAATTTTTCCCATTCCGAAAGTTGATGCATCTATTCCGTGGTTATGTGAGTTGCAATAACGAGCAGGAAAGCTACATCTATGAATGCAATAAGTAATCAACTAAACATGTGAAAAATAGAGACAAGGAGCTCACCATCTTGATCAACAATTCTATCATCTATCATTTTTGGGACGCTAAATCTCAACACCAAGAGTGCAGCTGCAGAGGACAGAAGGCAACTCGCTTGATTCCATGCTTCTCTGCAATTTCCACGGCCCAATCCTATGCTTTGATCTTTGTAATCTTGCTTTCTGATCAATTAATTTCTTCTATAAGCTCCTCCACTTTCCCTGGCATGACTGCAACATTGCTTCTGAAATCTTTCCTGGTTGCTTCCCATCCTCTGGCGATCCAAGTCCATGTGGAATAGAAACAAGTCAAATCTGATCACCCAAATCTTCTTTAATTGCCAATATATCCAGGGCATTTTTATGATTACTCTCCATGTTAACAAATGTAATTTCGAAGCCATGTTTGACAAAGCCTTGTGAAAGCTCCATTAGAGGAATTATATGGTCTTGTGGCTGGTATGGAATCACCAAAGCCTGTGGATTGCCCGTCTTCTTTTTTTTTTTTTTTTTTTTTTGCTTCCAAGACTGGCATTTGATTTTGAACTCAATTTCCATATAACTTCTATTAGAGACCCGGAGGAAACAGCCAGTAGACATTGTCTTCATGTTGTTCCATATCAGTGGAATCTTTAACTTGGAATCTATACTATTGCTCTTGTTCTTCCTTCCTATTTTAAAATCATGCAATATTTCAGTGTATTATTGATCTCGTTTTGTTTGCATTGACCTACTGGTCTTGACCTTTTGGATTCATTGGATTTCTTTGTGGCACCTGATAGGTTGATACTGCACTTTCTTTTCTTCATAGAATCCGCAATTAAATTTTCAATTTACATAAGTTTAAAAAAAATCCTTGTGTACATTTACTAAAGGTGTTCGGCGATGCCATGGGTAAATCTGATAATTTGTGTAATGTATAATATAAAATAGCGAAAATTTGTATATTTATATTATATTTCATACAAAAATTGAATATTACAATTAGTACCAATACTAAAAATATAAAATTTATTTTTTATTTTTTGTTAAATCTATATATGTTTTTAGCGAAAATTTTAACCTATGTCAATTCCATATTTTTTTTATAATATTTTTGTATTGTGTCATTATTTTGTATTTTAAATTATTTGGTCAACCTTGTGTCAATTTTTTTTATTTTGTTATATCTATTCACCATTTTTTTTTTACAAAATTTATCAAATTAAAGAAAAAAAGATGAAAGAAAAAAAAAAACAAATGGGAATAAAATATGTATATCTTAACTAGGTCATTTTTCTCATAAAATTAATTTAAAAAATGCCAAAAAAAATTTTTTAAAAAGTGAGAAATGGTAAATAAAAAAGTAGAAAGAAAACTAAAAATGAGTTAAACAAGAAAAAAAAAGAAGCTAATAGAAAGTGTTTCATTGATATCTCATATTGAATTTAAAATATAAAATACAAAATTTTTAAATTAAGATAAAAATTATTTTATTAATATAATACATGTATATGTATACAGCTAAATAAATGATAAATTGCATATCTTTATATACATCTCGAAATGGCTCAAGACAAAATATCATGAACACGCGTCTAACTTATGGGATATAAATTGTCTAGATATCTTTATTAATTTTCATATTGTATTGCAAAATTTATCTAATTAAAAAATATAAAATAATTCAAAACAAATTTCAAAAACGTGAAAACAAAAAAAATTAAAAAGAAAAAAAGGAAAGCTAATTGGAGTTCTACATAGGCATTCTAATTGAGTGGGTATCTATTAGATACAAATTGTTTTGCCATTGCTGTCAATCGATTTTTTTTGTTGCAAAATTTATCTAATTAAAAAATCGAACAACCAAAAAGTAAATTGAAATGTCACATAGGTACCTATATTGTTTTTTCACAAAATTTATCTAAATACAAATCTATGAAATGTTAAGAGAAATAAAAAAGAGTACTTCTACTTAACGCTATGTTTGGCTAAATATTAATAAAAAAATGAAAAGAATGGTAGAGAAAGTTTTTTAAAGGAAAGGAAATGATACATGTAATCCTTGTTTGGATAATTAAAATTAATAAGAGAAAGAAAAAAAATGAATTATAACAACTATTGTTTGGATAAAGAGTGAAAAAGAAAAGAAATGATTTATTATAATAATTTTTTCTAATTATAACATTTTATTGCCTGTGATTTTAAAGTACTCCTGGATCATAATATGTTCGCTATTTTGTCTAGCTTCACAATTACTACTATATTAATGGTTTTTAATCAAGTGAAACAGGAAGATATTTTACAAACATGCATTGATGGATTTTGAGCTAGTCTTTCATCTCATAAACCTAAAAAATATATCTATTTATATTCTACCATTCATCCAAATTAAATCACCAAAAAATTATAAAAAAATTTTATATTGGAAAAGATATGTGAAACTTACTTGAAAAAAGAGATGGCTTTGAAAAAATTACAAGATGATTGTGATCTACTTAGGTTTGTTTATTAGATTTTTAGTATTAATAAAAAGATGGACATAATAGTCTTTTATAAAAAAAATATTTTTCAACTTTCCTTTCCCTAGTTTTTCCTCCAAATTGGGGTATTAAAAAATTAAGTTTACAAGGAAAACCAAAAGTTATTTGGTTTCCACCTCTTTCTCCTTTTTTAAATTAAAAATTTATCCAAACAAGGAAAAAAGAGTTTTGTTTCCTTTACATTCTTTTACTTTCCTTTCCTTCCTCTTCCCTCAATCCAAACACACTATAAATCCTAAAAACTACTCAATATGTCCTAAAATTTTTGTTACAAAATTAACCTTTAATGAAAGTACTTAAATACCCATTAATCAATTACTTCTTTGTCCTCTACACCCTTTTCTTCTTCTTAGTAAGTTTTAGAAATTTATTTTCAAAAAAGCAGTTATTCATTGGAAATTGATTTTCGAAATTGAATAAATGTTACGAAAAATTTATTTTCAAAAATTTCTTCAATGTACTATAAATGCATTTCTAGAAATCAATATTGTTATCTAGAAATGCATTTCTAAAAGTAATTTTTTACTTCTATTTCTTTGTTGCATTAGATACGATAAGGTAGATTTTAATCTTTTAATCAGTGCTTAGTATGAGAATATCGAATGTCCCTTACTAGGATCTCTAAACGGATCTCTAATGATTTCTCTGAGATATAAGTTGTTTAAATTTAGCAATAAGGACCTCTAATATTTCAGCTAAGCATTGCCCGTTCAATAAGGCAACTAAAAACTTAAAGGTTTCTACTGCTTAATTTGCCAATCTGCTAACGAAATTGTTAAGGATAATGTTCCTTACGGTGCCAAGTTATTATGCCAAGAGCAATGGCTTCCATAAACATCTTTAATATAACGAAAATCTATTTCCAAAAGTTTTTAAAGACTTTCAGAAATGAATGTCAGGAAACCATTAAGAAGTTTCGAAAATCTATTTTCAAAAATTTTTAAAGATTTTCAGAAATCGATGTCTAAAAGCTTATAAAGGATTTCGAAAATGAATTTTTGAAAGTTCTTGAACAATTCCAACCATCCATTTTCGAAAACCTTCAATAATTTTCAGAAATCCATTTTTGCACCTTCAAACTTAAAATCCTAAATCTTACAAAATGAAACATGAAATCAAGTGAAAAACAGAAAGAATAAATGATTTACCTTTGATTCTAAAGTATCTAATGTCAAATGGGTGATTAGGGCTTAATTTGGAGCTTAATCTTTTAAGGTTTTTAGGGTTTTCAGTTGAAAGAAATAGAGAGAGAAGATGGGTGTGAGGAGATGGGGTATTTAGGTTTTTAATAAATTTATATTTTAGGTTTGAGATGTGTTGAGTAAAAAATTGGGTG